ACAAAATAGGTCAATGTGAAATTCAATATATTTCTGATCAGTCCCTAAATAAAAAAAAGAATTATGAATTGCTTTTTCCAATCCAAGGAACTAATTATCACATCAAGTATTATTCTCTAACCTTAGTCTAAAGGTATACATATAGATATATCCACAGTCATGTGACAAAGTACACTAATGAAAATTGTTGACTTTAGCAACATACAGTATTTGAAAACGCAAAGATTAGATCTTCATTTAAACAGTGCCTGCAGATAAAGGTGATATAATTGACTAGACAAGGAAAATTGCCTTTTTAATTATTTATTCAACAGAAATATCAATAGCTGTAATGGTGTACTGTGGAAAAAGTAAGTATACCTTTGGCCTCAGAAGCTGGCATTGCCCCCTTTAGCAGAAATTACTTATTGTAGTCGTTTTGTTTAACTGCCCTCCAGTCTCTGAAATTTTGCTTTTCTCACTTCCATGGAAAACTCCTTCAGTTGCAAGATGTTTGCGGGTTTCCTTGCATGAAAAATGGGCAGCACAGTGGTGTAGTGGTTACCGATTCTGCCCTGCAGCACTGGGGGTCCCTGATTTGTATCCTGGCCAGGTCACTATCTGCAAAGGGGTTTGCAGGTTCTCCCTGTGCTTGCGTGTGTTTCCACCGGGTACTCCGGTTTCCTCCCACACTCCAAAGACATGCTGGTAGATTAATTGTCTCCTGTCTAAATAGGCACGGTATGTATGATAGGGACCTTAGATTGTGAGCTCCTTCAGGGTGGGGACTGATGTGAATGTGCAACTATGTAAAGCACTGCGTAAATCCAGACAATATTGTTTTGATTTACCCCCGCTATATGATTGAAAGCTGGCTCTGCCTCTCTACAGCCACAGACAAATGTGCCCGCCCCTTCCTCTGTCCGTCCCATCACTGAGTGCTGTACAAACAGGGGGGTGGCAATACCTCTGGGGAGCAGTGACTGACAGTCACAGGTTGTCTGCAGTAAAGAGAATGTGAGTTTTGCGATCAGTGGCTACATGATTGCTCAGCTCTCGTTATGGAGTCAGTGTGTGAAAGCTGCAGTGTCAAACACTGGCTCTAGGTAATGGGAAGAGTACCTATTTATTTCCCCAGTACTTCTCTTTTAAATGTGTTGAAAAAGTCAACAAAATGATGGTGTACTTACTTTTTCACATGACTGTATTTAGCAGCAAACCTCTAGTTCTCACTTAGTTCTTTCCAATGCCTAGATGCACATTATTGCAGTGCGTCTACATTTATTTCACTCTGAAGAGTATACTCTATGCCTTATAAACACAATATCAATACCTCACATTGTGCAATTCATAAAATGCATTCATACACGGCTTGCCCATTGCTATTTTTAGAAAAGCAGTAAGTGATGTTTTGAAAAGTATTAATTATGTATTGAGAGCTTTGTTTTGTGTCAGATTTTGCTTTTCTTCCTGTGGAGGCAATTTGAATATGAGCAATATTATGTGTTCAGTTCCAAGAGAACGAACATAAATTAAACGTAATCAATGTATTTATCCTGCTTTAATACAACATCACTTAATCTTTTGTCTACCGTAATTAGGAATCTGGAATGTGTTCCGTAATGTTTCATTTAATTTTTTCTAGTGTGCAAAATATTGGACTAGTCCATCACTAACCATATTTTGGTAACCATTTAATTTCCTTTTCTTCATTTTTAACTATGATGGAGCACTCTAGGAATAGTACAAAGTTGTGGAGAGAAACAAATAAAGATGGAAAGTTATCATCTTGTGAAAGAGAAATAGGTTGTAGTAATATAAAAAGTGTACGCATAAAACCTAGGTGAATGTAGGGGGTTGCTAGAGCAACAGGAGCATAATAAGAAAGCAGATTACATAGCTGGACTGGTCCTTGAGGAAGTTGTCCAGTAGAGAAAGGTATGAGGGCAGAGCTAAAGCAAAAGAAAGAGCGACACTCCAGCATAGCATATGGGTTTAATGTATTCAATCCAATGACATGCAAGACATCTCAAAAGGGACAACTCTAACGCATTTTGTGGAAAGTCTCTATGAATAAGCGCAAGTTAGTACATTTGGTACATTTGTATTGCTGGATAAAGAGCCAGGTGTGCACCCAGTGAGTGTATTCATGGTGGACTGACCTGTCTGTGTATCCACATACACAGACAGGTCAGTCCACCATGAATGCAGAGCTAGCAATTTATGGTGGGGCCTGGAAGTAGAGTGTGTTTGAAGGGTTCTGAGGCTGAAATGGAGAGACCATGCATTTGTCCATGTGATTATCTATAGGTTTGGTATGCTGAGCCATGTGAATTAATCCGCTGTAGTTGATCATGTGTTTTCAGTAAAGACTTTTACAATATGCATGTTTGTTTTCTGGCTTATATCCTAAACAGAACATGTGTACAAGTAACCTGGGACTGAATACTTCACGTTGAAGGTGAATAAGAGGGTGAGCTATAATCGTTGTGATTATAGACTACCCCTTTCATGTGTGTTTGCAATCAGCAGGAACATCATTAAATGAAGCTTTTACACCTTTCTGTGATCACAAAGGTTATGTGCCTGTCCATTGGAAGGTGATGGGAAAATGTACACGGGTGAACTAAAGCACGTTCGAGACTGTTGTAGATGCACTTTATGTGGAAATAAGACATGTATGAACATTTATAAATGCACTTTATTAGAGAGAATTCATTAAGGAATATTATCTGAAGAATTTACTTGTGCCTTCATAAATGATGACATTTTGAGATATTTTACCAATCATGTATATAGATGAAGGTATAAATTGTAAGGTTTTAGCTGAGGAGATGGCATTAAAGGGAGTGTATAGGTATGAACACAGAAGAGTGAAGCATAGCGGTGAAGTGACTGGTGGCATAGAGGCAGCAGTGAAGCATGAAGGCAGCAGTCAACATCTCGGGTAAATGTAAAAAAATAAATGGCCAGACAAAAAACATTTATTTATTACAGACATTTATATAGTGCTAATTTACGCAGCGCTTTACAAACTGTACATTCACATCATAGTTTATGTATTATTGTATTTAGTTTTTCTACACCTTTTTTCAAATTTTGAAACCAACCTCATCCTGTAGCCACAAAGTGTAATCAAAAACATAATCTTTAGACCTGAAATTCCTATAGGTCACAGACAGGCAAACAAAAGGTAGACCTGCACCTCTAAAACTTAATGGGGGAGGGGCGGGGGGGAATTTATCAAAACTGGAGCAGACAAAAATCTTGAGCAGCTGTGAATGGCAACCAATCAGCTTCTCTCTTTCCTTTCTAAAACTTAACTGAAGACAGAAGCTGATTGATTGCCATGCACAGCTGCTCCAGATTTTGTCTGCTCCAGTTTTGATTTTTTTGTACCTACAAAAAATGTTTAATGTATTTAAATAATCTATATTACTCACTCTTGTTTACATCCGTTACTTTATACAGATGAGTGCAAAGTAAATCAACCCTATTACCTTATAAAGTGAATGTAAATGAATAAGGTGAACCTGCGTTCACTTTGAATACCAATCACAAGTAAGGGAAATTGTAAAAATTGATTTTTGCTAGATCATGATTGGAGAGAACATAACTTATTTATTAAGCTGGGGGGCACTTATTCTGCTTCATAAACCCCTTTAATAAATGAACCGTGATGAATCTTTATAATAAGTGAACCCTGATGAATGTTTACAAAATTTATAATAACAACAAAAATAACAATACAAACATTAATGAAATTCCAGAAAAATTAGTAGCATAATATGATAATGGATTGCTAATTCGAGATGATGAAGTGACACAGCAGTGAACAAGTCCACCTCTTAATAAGTAAAATCAATAAGAAAGAAGAAATTAAAATAACATTTTACAATACTAAAAATGTATCGGGTTGGAAGCTCTACCTTCTAGCCCTTCATTCCATCTCCCTACAATACACCTGTCATTGTTATTAATCTGCCAGGTGAGAGCCCCCATCTGGTAATCATTGTACAGAAGGGATGTGGAATGGTGAGATGAATATGGAATGATGTTCCTTACAGGTAATGAGTGCAGGACAGAGGAGCCTCTTAAAGAAGAAGGTACAGGTCTGTGAGAGCCAGAACTCTTGCTTGTTTGTAGGTGACCAAATACTTATTTTCCACCATAATTTGCAAATAAATTGGTTCCAAATCAGCCGATGTGATTTGTCTGGATTTGTTTTCTCATTTTGTCTCTCATAGTTGAGGTCTACCTATGATGCCAATTACAGGTCTCTCTCATCGTTTTAAGTGGGAGAACTTGCACAATTGGTGGCTGACTAAATACTTTTTTGCCCCGCTGTATAGTGTATATAACCACTAATGCACAGCTTCTTATTAGCAACAGAGCCCACCACCTCCCTGAACACTGAATCCTGAGACCCAGGAAGTTCTTGTGCTACTGAGTGGAACAGCAAGCAAATCCTAGTCCACAAAACAACTTAATCATTAAAGTTATGCACCCCTAGGTTAAGCAGAGTGAGGTATTTAGCAATTTTTAAAGCTGTAATTTATGTTTATTGATATCCCTGTTGTATTCTTTTCAGTTTATTTGTATAATTTTTTTGGCTTTTTTTTTACTTTTTTCACAGTGCTTGATGAAAATTGATTGGCAAAATGATTGAGATAATATATGCAAAGCACCCATCAGAAACCCCTTGTTTATTATTAGTGCCAAGGGCTGCTATAAATTGCTTATGGGGAGACCACCCCAACTCATAAGTGGAAGGCCAACATTTTTACCAATGGCTAATAAGGGTGTAGCATAACCCTTTCTTAGCTGGTGTAATACAAGATTTGCAGCTGTTTTTTTTTTTTTTTTATGTATAGCTCATAGTTCATTGTATTGCGGTTTGTCAATCTGTAGGCTCCTTAATTCATTTTGGGACCCCATCATTGGTTCTATCCCTTATTATAAATATCTGGTGTGCAGAGAGATTGTTGATGTCAGTAACATATGCTAAAATCATGTGTAGAGGCCGGTTTTAGGAGCTACCAGCTAAAACTCAAAAATGAGCTGCAAACCAGATCAGAGTGTGTCTGTCCCATTATCATCTACCTTATTACACCAGCAGAAGGGAAATGTTCCACAGCATGGCTGTAACCATGGCTTCCAAAGATTATTGTAGAAGGATAACTGCTGAGGCACCACAGTGATGGTCTTCTTGTGTTCTGCTACCACAGCCTCTATTTTGTTTATTACCTCTTTATAGTAAGGGTTGGTATGAGATGGAAGAGGCTTGGATTCAGAAGGATCGGCAGATAGTTCAAATAACAGTGGAGGATTGTGGTGAATGACATACTTTCCTTCACAACCACAAAGTAATATATCATAGCAACCCACTGCATCTTGTGGATAAAAAACAGGAGTCACAAAGTGTGCTTTCCAGGTAGTACTACCTAGGGAAAAAAAGAAAATGATTTACTATCACTTAGACCAGAGGTATCCCAGTCTTTATAATGAGTAGGAAGACTGTTCCAACTAATTGGATTGTAGAAATGAAGAGAACATAGATCAATTAAAAGGAAAGCTTTGCCCATTGACAGATAAAATAAATCCTTTGGTAAATCAGCTTCTATGGGACAATAAATATCAAACTACAGTAGCCAAGTCATTTTTATTTTTATTTAGACAGTGCAATTCATTTATCTGGGCTTAAACCACACTGTATTCTCTAGTCGCTTTGACTTTAACATTTTGTTGCCACTGTCCTTATTTTAAACTGAATGTGCTATAAATAGAATCGAAAAGGGGCTGCTAGTATCAATCTTCTATGAATAAAATATCCACAGCAACCTAGGTTCTACCCTTAATAGATGTCATTGTAAATGAATTGGCCATTTTTAAAATTAAAGCAAAAAATAAAATAAAATAAAAAATAGTGCAACCTTTGTTTTAAAAAATAAATATATTCTTTTTGTTATATATGATACATAGTAGGGCCATACCGAATGGTTGGCCAAATTCTGGTCTAAGGGCCCATTCACCTTTGTGTTTTAACATGTGTTAACACACTGTATATTAGAAAGAGACAGAAATATTTTTTTTTGTGAGTCACCCTTATTTGAAGAAGAAAAAATATTTTTAATATCCGTTATATTTTCAGACCAATCATAGGAATGCATCTTGGTGGGATCGTGTGGCACCTTGGCCCCTCCTGTGGTCCCAGGCCTGCACTTTCTCCCTTCCTTTTCTTTTTCCGTTTTCCCCTCCCCGCTTCCTGGAGCTTGGTGGAGGGGGTTTATGGGCATCAGGATGTCCCTCTGTATTCATGGCGTTGGCAAGTAGATCTTCAGTACATGCATTTAAATTATGCTTTATTTGTACCTAAACTACAAACTTTTTCTGAAAATAATATCAGTTTTTCTATATATTGTGTGCTTTTTAGCCTTTTTATCTTCAGGCATCAAGTCTCTCTCCTGAGGTAGCCTTTATAGGCGAAACACTTCAAGAACTCATTCATCAACACTCCAAGACCACACCATACATGCCTTTTTACAGGTTTGGTCTTTATTATTTATATCCAGCTAGTAATATGTGGTCATCCATTTTGAGTTGCTAACCCATATGAGACTTGTTTGCCAAGGACACTGTAACTTGGTTTTGTTGCTTTTAACTATGTACAATTTTAAGAGCTGTATTAAAAAAGGAGAACTATGAGGTGAGTGATTTTCACTCAACCTCATAGTTTGAGCTGACGTGTGACAGTGAAACTGTCACACGTCAGCTCAATAGATCAGGAAGTGAGCGAACGCATACCGTCGCTCGCTCACTTCTTGATCATGTCCCTGTAGAGAGCCGTGCCTGTCACGGCTCCCTGCAGGGATTCTCCCCCCCAATCCTCCAGCGCTGACTGGGGGAACGGACAGACAGGGGCGGGTACAGCTGGCTCCGCCTCTAGATAGGCAGAGCCAGCTGTCACCTAAACATCTGGGTGGATCTCTATATTAATGTCGGAATCCGTCCCGGCTGCGGCAGTCTCAGTATACTTTGAGCTGTAGCTCGCGATATACTGATCTTTGGATCACGGGAGGACGCTAGTTTATGTCCTCCCCTGACCCTTAGGAGAACTATGGGGGAAAACACTTACCCCATAGTTCTCCTTTAATAAAATGTTGTAAATGGTATCCATTGTTGGGCAATGCATTTTTTCAAAATAAAGGTGACTTACAAAAAATCTAATTTCTTTCTCTTTCTAATTTTCATTGTATATTATTGTTTGGGGGGTGATAAGCCCTTATACCTGATTGACTACCCTTCAAGACAATTGTCCACGGACGGCCAGGGAGTTATTCATTACTTAATTATGTGTTAATACACGTGCAAAGTTTTAGATTAGATTAATTTATGTTCACTGGTTGGTGCATTCTATTGTCTTAGATTAGACCTAATTACCAGCTGTCGTTCCGTAGCGCTGCACACCTATTATTATTTACGTGCAAAGTTTTGCCATTGTTTTTAATAGTGCTAGTTTACATAATACGCTGTGCATTGGCATTTGCTGGCCAAATAAAGTTGACGTCCATTCTTTCATCTGTCTATGTGCATTGAAAGGAATGTCAGTGGAGGCCAACCTATAACAATGCACATGTTCAAAGCAATAAAATGTATAAAAATGGAGATGAACTAAAGAGGCTAGCCAAAGCTGTTGCAAGCACTATGACAATTTTACCCGACAAATGAAAAAACATTTAAACCTGTCCACATATTTTGTGAAAGTTAAACTTCATTAGTATTTGTATCTCCCACAAAGTTCATTAGCACACTGCTGTTTAGTGAGGACCTGCAGCTAGCTCCCATGTGATTGCTATTTTTATAGCAATTTTGTTTCCTGTATTGTACCCCGTTTACTATTTAAGAAAAAGTCTTACCACGCATAGGTTTCTTGTTTTCTATGTATCCTGGATTGGTGCAGTAGATCCAAATCTAGCATGGTTGACAGGGCAAATCCCCCCCCCCCCCCCCCCGTTTC